CCCCAAAACCCCAAAACCCCAAAACCCCAAAACCCCTCAATTAAATAAATAGTTGAACATTTTTACAAGCGGTTGGAATTACTTGACCTTTTTGTCAAAATTCAGGAACCTATCCTGGTTCTCCTCGATCTTATCTCTCATATTCTTGGGGATGTAGGAATCAGCAATATCGAATTTCTCCTTAGCATCAACGAAGTACTTGTCCTCTTCTCCCTTCTCAATGTCAGGCTTGAATGGAGGGATGATGTTGCATTCCATGATGTGGTCAATGTCTACTGAACTGAACCATGGGTGCTCAAGGATTTCTCTAATACCATCTTTGGCACCTAGCCTATTGGAAGGATCCTTTGCTAAGAATTGACAAATAATATCCTTGACTTCATCCGAGTACTCAATGTTGTATTTCTTCTTATGTGGGAAGACAATCTTCGATTTTTGAATCTTGCTCATCATTACAGCTCTATTTCTATTATAGAATGGAGTGACTCCGATCAGCATTTCGTAAATTAGAATCCCAATGGCCCACCAATCAACCATTTTATCATGTCCTTTTTGAGCAATCATCTCTGGTGAAAGGTATTCTGGGGTCCCGAGGAAAGACTTTGCTACTTCATCACCCTTCAAAATCTTCGCTAATCCAAAATCTATGATTTTGAGGTATCCTTCCTTATCAATCAAAATATTTTCTAGTTTAAGATCTCGATGAACTATATCTCTGTCATGCAAATGGCCGATGGCGAGGCATATCTGTATAGCGTAGAACTTGACAACTTCCTCAGGGAATCTCTTGTTATGCAAGAAATGTTTATAAAGTTCTCCTCCTTCTACAAAAGTCATTACGAAATAGAGTCTCAGGTCAGATTGAAAGACAAAGTCCATTCCGACCAAAAATTGATGATTTCAGTTGAAAAGAATGTCTCTTTCAAGGTTGACTGCTTCTATTTGGTCTGTCTCGATTACAACATCTTTTCTGATAGTCTTGATTGCGTATAATTTGCCTGTTTCTTTCATTTTGGTAAGATACACTTTTCCGAATGCCCCTTTACCCAAAATACTAATGATTTCGAAATCGTCTAATGTCACTGTAGATTCTTCTTTTAGGCTTGAGAACAGCAGCGAGGAGGACTTTTCTCTCAACTCTTCTACATCAAAATCTTCATCATCGTCATTGACTAAGTCAACTTTTAGTTCTTCTTTATACGAATCTCTTCTCGTGTCAATATCTACATTTTCAGATTCAGTGTAGACTTCGTCGTCATCACCAGCAATTTGGGTACTTTCGAGTTCTTTCTGAGCTTCCTCGATTTTCTTTTCAAGCTCTTCGTCCTCTTCCATTTGTCTGGACCCAGCTATTTCTTCTTCTCTTTTCCTTTGGCTTTCTTCAGGCAGTTTGTAAAGCCCATATTTCTTGTCTTTAAGAGTGGTGGTGTACATTCCCAGGTTGTCAGAGACTGAGAAGATCTTGAGGGTGTTCTCACTATCTAGATTAGCAAACCTCAGCTTCAGGATGTTGACAAATTCGTCCCTGAATTCACATACATAGCGGTAATCATACTCTTTAGGCACATGTAAGACGAATTCTTTTTCTTTCTTCTCACTGAGAATTATCGCACCAACATCTGTTATGCTGATCTTTCTGCGGACTTTGCTCTTACGGAAATTGTAAATATGTGTGCTGGTGAGGATCAATGAGCGCTCCTGTTTCAACCCCATGGAGTTTATCTTACTTCATTTGGACGAGAACATTACAATTTCATCCTCCTCAAAATGGCTCTCAAATTCTTTGTTGTCTAAATGAAGATTTAGAGTGTAAAGATTGGATCAAAATTAGTAAAAAAGTATCATAAGCACTAATCTAAGGCTTTAGGCTCTATCTATCTTCTTTATGGGATGCCTCTGGGGTTGGGACAGTTCATGAATCTGCATATCTTACCTTCGATTCCAAGTCTATCAGAACTCATATTTATTTTTACCTAAATCAACCAACAATTAATTTATCGGGGTTTTGGGGTTTTGGGGTTTTGGGGTTTTGGGGTTTTGGGGTTTTGGGGTTTTGGGG